GATAAAAGATCTGTACTATAAGACACTGATGAAAGAAACTGAAGATAAAAATGAATAGAAAGCCATATACCATGCTCATGGATTGGAAGAATTAATAATCTTAAAACACCCATACTACTGAAAGGTATCTACAGATTCAATGCAATTCCCATCAAAACATCAACATTTCTCACAGAACTAGAACAAAGAATACTAAAATTTGTATGAAACCACAAAAACCCTGACTAGCCAAAGCAATCTTGAGAAAGAAAAACAAAGCTGATGGTATCACACTCCCTGATTTCAAACTATACTACATGTTACAGTAACCAAAACAGTATGGTACTGGCATAAAAACAGACACATAGAATACATAGATATTTGCAAATCATTCATCTGATAAGGGATTAATATCCAAAATATATGAAGAACTTACACAATTTAATATCAAAAAACTAAATAGCCTAATTAAAGAATGGGCAGAGGACCTGAAAAGGCATTTTCTAATGAAAACATACAGATGGTCAACAGACACATGAAAAGATGATCAACAGCATTTATCATCAGGGAAATATAAATCAAAACCACAATGATTTATTACCTCAAACCTGTCAGCTCAGATATTATTTAAAAAATAATAACAAGTGTTGGCAAGGATGTAGGAAAAAACCCTCATGCACTGTTGGTGAGAATGTATACTGGTGCAGCCACTGTGGAAAATAGTATGGAGTTTCCTCAAAAAAATTAAATATAGAACTACCATATGATCCAGCAATTCCACTTCTGGGAATTTATCCAAAGAAAACCAAAACACCAAAGGAAGAAATACATTCACTGCAGCATTATTTGCAATAGCCAAGATACAGAAGCAACCTAAGTGTCCATTGATGGATGGATAAAGATGTGATACACACACAGAAGAATATAACTCAGCCACAACAAAGAATGAAATCTTGCCATTTGCAACAACATAGATGGATCTGGCAAGTTATTATGCAAAGTGAAACAAGTCAAACAGAGAAAGACAAATACCATAGGATTTCAATTGTATGTGGAATCTAAAAAAAAAAAACAAACAAAACAAAACAGAAACAGATCCATAGATAAAGAAAAGTGTTGGTTATCAGACAGAGGGAAAGGTTAGGGGGGCAGGCAAAACAGGTGAAGGAGATTAAGAGGTACAGAGTTCCAGTTATAAAATAAATAAGCCATGGGGATGTAATGTACAGCATAGAGAACAAAATAATACTGTAATAACTTTGGTGACAGATGGCAACTAGACTTATTGTAGGAAACATTTTGTAATGTATAAAAATATCAAATCACTATGATGTACTGAGGTACTCTCTAGGATAGGATACTGTATGGCAATTATACAAAAGGATATTGTACATCAATTATACTTCAATTAGAAAAAAAACTTAAGGACACCTGGGTGGCTCGGGTGAGCTTCCAATTCTTGATTTCAGCTCAGGTCATGATCTCAGGGTCATGGAATCAAGCCCACGTTGGGCTCCGAGCTCAGCGGGGAGTCTGCTTGAGATTCCCTCTCACCCCCTCCCTCTTCCCCCTCCCCTGTGAACTCTCACTCTTTTTCTCTAAAATAAACCTTTAAAAAAAAAAACATAAAATTTAAAAGAAAATGAAAAAGAGATAGGAGAAAATAAGCAAATAAGCCCAATCTAACAATGTTTAATTTTTAATGGTGGGAATACAGTACAGCAGAAATTGGCAAAGTATGGAGTGGACCAAGTCCAGCCCACCACCTGTTTCCGTAAATATAATTTTATTGGAAAACAGCCACTCACTCATGATGGATTGCCTATGGCTACTTCTGCACTATAACAGCTGAGATGAGGAGTTGCAACAGAGTCTGTATGGCCTGCAAAATCTAAAATACTTACTACATAGATCTTTATTGGAAGTTTACTGACTTTTGCAGGTTTTCTTCTTCATGCTTTCCTGTATCTCACCTTTCCCTGAAATTTAAGACTATTTAAATAACTTGACGGAAATTCACACTAAAATCTCATAGAAACAAAGAAAAGATTCTAAAACTATTAGATTTTTAAACATTGTAATAGTACTACATATTTATTACTATACTTGCTATAGACTAAACTGAAAATATTAATCAGAGCGATTCTGTAACAGTTTATTTAAGATTTTATTTATTTGAGAGAGAAAGCACACCGAGAGGGAGAGAGAAGCAGACTCTACATGGGGTTCAACCCCAGGACCCTTGTGTTTATGACCTGGGCCGAAAGCAGAAGCTTAACTGACTGCGCCACCCAGATGCCCCTATAACACAGTTTAAATGACTGGTGAATTACAGAGGTACTCCATGTAGGGAGAAAAAAAATACACAGCGTAATAATATTTAATATAAGGGATATATTCCTGAAAACCCTGAATAATTCAAAACTAACCATCCCACACATACAGAGGGATGCATTCTCAGAAAACATCCGCAACTAATATAGAACACTTTTATAATATACACTAATAACATATTAAGTGTAGTATATTAGTATAGTATAATATGTAGTACATTAATACCTTAATTATATAGTTATGTGGTTAACAGAATTATTAATTCTGTAACACAGTAATTTATTAATCAAGTAACTTTAAAATACAATTAAATGTATAATACATAATATACTAAGTACAAAGTTAACTTAATGGTATTTCATTAACTAATGTGGTTTCCAGCCTGAAAATACTAAGAAGTTATCATTATCATCTTCCAACAACACAAGTTAAGGAGAAGGTTAAAAGGTATCAAATCAGGAGAAGCTCTCTCTCCACATCATGGGGAAGGCTAGTCTGAGTCCCTGGAAGACTTCTGCTAACGAATGAATCTAATGTGGCTGGTTCTTTTCTCTCCTTTTTATTTTCCCAATGATGATTTTTTTTCCCACTGAAAATTTCTTGATATGCAGACACACTGTCCATTTTTCACCTTGCCACCATGAAATAGCAATCCACATTTGGATCATTTTCTTTAATAATAGCAATTGTTGCTGGAGTATGTTCAAAATCATATGCCAGGTACTTCACTGTTGGCTGCTGTGCTGAAGGCCCAGGCTAACTGCTGGGGCCCTCCTCCAGCTACCTTTGTTTTCCTAATTCTAGCAAGCCTTCCTTTATTAATCCATGGAGAACCACCCAAGGAAAATGTCAACATCCCCTTCACCAACCTTGCACAAATTCATCTTCTTTCACAGACTTTATTAGGTGTGAGACTGTCTTCCAGGTTAAAGCCTCTTTAGGTTATGGTAAAGCTGAAATGTTTTTGATAGCTTCGGTTAGCAGATATAGCTTGCCTGCTCATTTTTATATTCTTAAAACCTCAGTAGGCTTTAAAATTGGAAAGCCAGCCATGACTTGTAATAAACCTTTTTGTCTCACTTTCAATTCCTTTCAAATCATCAAAAATACTTCATGCCTTAGCACAGGCGACGGCTTGGACTTAGGGGCACATTATGGCAGCAATGATCTTGCAGCTGTGTTGCCAGGATTTTTTCCATTTATTCCATTATTCTGGCCTGGTTCTAAGATATTTTTATGTGAACTAAATGATGTACCTTCTTTAATGCTGCTTTTGGTTTTTTGAGCATTCTCTCTAATATTCTGCAGGTTGCACTCTCCTAAATGAACAGCATGGAGGTTCACAGTTGAGCCTTCATCACAGAGTTTTATCACATCCAACTTCTGTTCCAAAGATACTGAATTTGGGGCACACTTTTTAGCACTAGCACTACTACTACTTAATGAATTTAAATGACAATGTTATACGATATACAAAAACATTTTTAATTGCACTAAAAGCAAATGTTAATAGAACAGCCAAAAATAGTCACCCAAAAACATTAACCCAAGATCTGATACATCAGGTTCATATGATATTGATAAAGGATGATGGGAATTTTGTTTCCTGCTACACAAGACACAGACAACAATGACATAGTTTGCAATCCTTTCAGCCTGCCAGATTTGAAATTATGCATTTCTTCAAAATATTGTTTTTAATTTTGGAAAGTTTCACAATATTTCAAATTTGAGACATAAAGTGGGAATTTAAATGTATTTTTACTTTGCACTATTTTCAGCCTCACATAATTTGAAGATGCTTAAAACACTACACTGAACTTTTTCAAAAGACTTCCTTTTTTTAAATAGGCTCCACACCCAGTATGGAGCCCATTGTGAGGCTTGAACTCACAACCCCTGAGATCAAGACTTGAGCTGAAACCAAAAGTCAGACACCTTAACTGACTGAGCCACCCAGGCACCCCTAAAGAGACTTTCTAGTTTTCAAGAAAAGTACTTGAATGTAGTAAAAGAGAAAAATAAGCAATCAGATGGAATTAGTCAGTATTTAAAGAAATTAAGAAGCCAGAATGCAGTAAATCAAAAACATATTCTTATTAATGTTGTAACCTTAAGGTCCCAAAACAAAAGAAATTTTTTTTAAGATTTTATTTATATATTCATGAGAGACGAGAGTGGCAGAGCCATAGGCAGAGGGAGAAGCAGGCTCCCCATGGGGAGTCCAATGCAGGACTCGATCCCAGGACCCCAGGATCACGACCTGAGCCAAAGGCAAACATTCAACCACTGAGCCACTCAGGCTCCCCAATCCCAAAACAAAACTAATAACATGATAGGGCAGCCTGGGTGGCTCAGCGGTTTAAGCGCCTGCCTTCCACCCAGGGTACGATCCTGGGGTCCTGGGATTGAGTCCCTTGTCCGCTCCCTGCATGGAGCCTGCTTCTCCCCCTGCCTGTGTCTCTGCCTCTCTCTCTCTGGGTCTCTCAGAAATAAATAAATAAAATCTTAAAAAAAAAAAGAAAAAGAAACTCTCTTTAAAAAAAAATAACATGATAGATTACTCTTTTTAAAGACTAAGCTCCACATAAAATATATTCAGGTATGGCTTAGAATATTACATTCAAAACGAAAATAAACAAGTGGCATTATGAGGAAAAATATTAACAATAAACAGTAAAACTTACATCTTCGATGATCTTTGCTGCCTCTTTAGTAACTGCTGCACCTGTTATAAATTAAAATATACATTATTATCCCCAGAATATACAGATGTAAACACTGAGACCAAGAAATTATTTTCCCCTTACTAATAAGGTGGGTTGGAGTCTCGTCCAGAATTTCACAAAAAATGGTCCGAGGAAACTGGACATCAGTATCACCTGGGATGCTGGGAAAAGGTAAAGAATCTTGGGCCCCAATCTCATCCAGCTGTATTAGAATCTCCAGTGATAAAGGCAACTCTGTTAAAATCACTTAGGTTCTTAAAAAAAATAAACTATACATGCCACTTCCTTCTCTATCCAGGCCAACCTACTTGCTACTCACTTTTCCTCTGAGAAAAAAGGAGCATGTTTCCTTATATGAATATAAATGTAAATATTAGCAACAAGAGCTGCTTAGACTAGTTAGCAGTCCAACCAAATGCCTTTATATCAAGTCATACCTTTTAATACACTGTTAGTGTTCCCTGTGGGCTGGGTAGGAGATATTTTTGCCAATGACACCACACTGGTTATAACTGGTGTTGTATTTTTCCTTGCAGAAGGGAGCTCCACTGAAGCACTTTGCGCCTTATATATATTTACTGATTAAAATAAAAAGGTAAGACCTAGTATAAACAAAAGGGTTACACACAAAAAAACCCTGTTTAACAACTAAAGTTTTCAAGGAGCTGTGCAAATATCTAACTCTATATAATGTTACAGAATATATCTTACTATATAAAGAGTGATTCTGGTCAGATTAACATTCATTAGGACTTAAGAGACAGGCTGGTTCTCTAAAATTATAAAATTCAAATGCTATTTAACAGGTAAAAATATAGGCATTAGCTTCAGAATCAACTGGCCTTTTCTATTAGTGAATATTAAAACTTCTCTACCTAAGCTTGCTTCAAATAAAAATTTAACATGACAATTTTTATAAATAAGTTGGTGAGGCACCTGTTCATCTGCTAGTTTTCTGTCAACCCATTTTATAAAATGAAAATTCTTCCTGACTGGTCTTAGGGAATGGATGAAGACATAAAAGCCTGGCACGTGGCATATGTGATTAAGGTGGTGATCAATAGGATTGCAAAGGCAGACAAGGGCCAGACTGCAAGGACAAAGGACATGGATTCTGTGAATTCAACAGCACTCCAGGCTTTGATCAGAGAGCATAATACCAAATGTTTTGAACCTAACTCAGAGAAGTACTACTTCAAGGAGCTACTTTAAGAACATGCCACATATATACCTATTCATCTGGATATTTTGACCATATTAGCTGTCCTACTTGCAAAATTATTTTATTCTTAGCCAAAAAAAAAACTTTGCTACCTATGAAGAACTGGTCTACTTTATTTTTCTGATATAATTAATGTGTTGATTCTTTATTCCTTGGCTACAAGCAAGCTCCAGATCAAATCTGACGCCAGTCACAGCAACTATATTATACTTCTATCCTCTCCTTTTGTTTGCCCTGATTTTCTAGTTTATTAACTTAAACTAATTAAGTTTAATTACACATATCCCTTAGTGGAAGTTATTTATGTATAGATATATTCAAGTAAAAGCAATCAAATCTAATTTTCCTATAAAATTAGTGCTTATCCATGGTATGTTTGATTATGACAGCAAAAAAGCATCAGGATTGACTAAAGGGCAATCTTTAAGAATTCTTATAGGAAAAAAAAAGAAATCTTATAGGAAAATTTAAGGAAATCCAGGCTATCTGTCCAGCAAAATTTTGTTTTTATTATATTATTTACAACTATGTGTGCCAATTGTATATCCTAGCACTGACATAAAGATCCTGTTAGTCAAGTTTAATTTTACCTTTATTTTGTGAAAGAGGATCATTCATAATTTGCCAATGACAGAACTCCAAGACGCAAAATAAGTTACAAAAATGTTTGATGTTTCCTCGCCATTTTATGGACTCACTTAGCTTACCCTGTCGTTTACAGCCATCGCACTTGGCCATCTGAGAAAGAAATGTAAGACAGGATAGGCTTAAGACCACAAAATAATGCAAAGAAAACATTAATCATAAAACTGGAAGGCACTATCAAAACAGGATGCATAAGTCAGATGAAATCACAAAATATAAGGATTAAAATAATGTGGTTAAAAATAGATATACTTAATTATTTGTTGCACATAGATGCCCTCAATCTATAGAATATAAAAATTGATCTCCCATTTTCAAAATTACTGATGAAGGAATCTAAAGATAGGTTCTACTTTTAAGAGGTTAAAAAGCAGCAAAATGTAGTAGAAAGAATATGCAGTTTGGAGTTATAAAGACATTGATTTATTGATTTATTCAAGAAATATCTAATTAGGTATCCTTTGTCTTGAGTATTGAGATAGTTTCCTCGTCATATAATTATGATAAAGACATATTTCTCCACCAAAATGATTACGCTTTAGGGGGTAGGTAGAAAAATAAACATGATTTCACTAAAGTGTTACAGGTGCTGTCTAGCTATCACCCACCAGGTGCATTATTTCTCCTCCCAGGATCTTGCTCTTTTTCCTTATTTATAAACTGGCCGTAATACCTCTAAGGATCGTAGTAAGGATTAAATAAAATAACACTTATGAAGCACTGGATGTGTGTTAACGCTTCAATTAATTGTAGCTTTCACAATCTTTCAAAAAAGTAATTTCTTTTACAATGACTGGGTAAGGAGGTCAGTCAGAGTCATCTGATCTATGAAGTGAGAACAAGGTCTGACTTCTAATTCATCAGAGTAACCTTCTGAATGAGAGAGCCACTTAAGGCAACATAACTATGTAAGGTTCTAAGTTGAAAGAACTCAGTTATAAATAAGGTCAATATGCCTCAAGAGAAAGCCAAATATAAAAATAAAATGAACATATGCTCAAACAACAGCAAAATCTCCAGAAATCCTATACTCTTTACCCCAAAAGTTTTATATTTATATTCAACTGAATTTTGCTTTAGGAGCCCATAATTTATTTTACCCAGTTCCAAACATTAAATTTTACTTCACATGATCCAAAACATATTTTAAGAAAATAATTTGTACTAACTTCAGAAAGCCAAAGAGGTATATTACATTTACCTGATAAAATAAAACTGTAAATTTGGACATGCAATCTTCACAACAAAACTCTTCTAACTTGCCCTCCAATCGATTTTCGACCAAATTAGGGGATGTCTGCGAGCAGTAACTGCACATCTTACAGTAATTTCCCCATCGTTCTCCAAAGTCACGGGCAGAGAGGAATTTGCAAACTGAGAACCAAAAGGGATGAAAGGAAGAAACATCAAACTTACATTAACCTGAAGGAGGTAAAGTTGAGTTTCCACAGTCTCAGGTACCAACTTAGCTAATTTCTAAATACTTGACATAATTATTTGCTTCTAGAATAGGAGCAAGGATAGTCTCTATATTCACAAAACAAAATCGTAGCACCTTTGAAATACACTTTAAATATTAAGCCATCTATTTTCAGAAACATCAGCGATCTAAAAGTTTCTTAAGCCAAGAAGCAGTAATTGTTTAAGCACCCTCTTTACAAGGGGGTACAAGAACAGAAAGATCTCTCAAGTCATTTCTAAACTTATGAAGAGGTTGGTTTGTTTTTTTTTTTAAAGATTTTATTCATTTATTCATGAGAGACACAGAGAGAGACAGAGAGAGGCAGAGACACAGGCAGAGGGAGAAGCAGGCCCCACGCAAGGAGCCCGACGTGGGCCTTGATCCTGGGTCTCCAGGATCATGCCCTGGGCTGAAGGCAGGCACTAAACCACTGAGCCACCTGAGCTGCCCTGAAGAGGTTTTTTTAACTCTATACTAATACCATTGACCTAATTATCTTTCAAAAGTCTTTGAATTTTAAAGCAATTTCTTTAAAATTATTGTAATTTAAAAAAATCACCACAAGCCAACCATGATCACAAATATATTACAATATTTAACATTTTTTTCAGGGCACGTGGCCAAGTCAGTTGAGAATCCAACTCTTAAAAAATAAAAAAGAGAGAGAGAGAGAGAATCCAACTCTTAGTTTCGGCTCAGGCTATGATCTCAGGGTCGTAAGATCAAGCCCCACGTCAGGCTCCGTGCCCAGAATGCAGTCTGCTTAAGACTCGCTTGCTCGCTCACCCCTCCTCACGTGTTCTCTTTCTCTCTATAAAATAAATAAATCTTTAAAACTTTTTTTCAAGTTTTCCTCTATTGAGATTATTATAATATTTAGAAGTATAGACTTTAAAGTGACTTATGTATAAAAATAAGTAAAAAGTAAAAAAAAAAATGAATTAAGCATCAACTCAAGAAAAAAGTCTCAAATTACACATAAAATAAAATTACTTGAAAATTAATTATAGATTAATAGCCCAACTCAGCACGAATTACTTTATAAAACCTGCATGCTAAAAAAAAAAAAAAAAAAAAAAAAAAAAAACACACACACAACCCTGCATGCTCTGTGGATAAACTGAATTGGAATTGCTTGCTTTCTTTACCTTCACTACAAAATGGCTTATCAACCCCTGAGAATCGGACGGTCTCCTTTATAATTTTCTGCAGTTTGCAGTAGTCACACATTGCCATAACTTTATTTTTCTTTTTGTATTCATCAGAGCAATTCTTGCCACAAAACAGAAACATTTTACCCTGCAGAGAAAAAAAGAAAAAACAAAAAACCAACCAGTGAGAATTAAACAGTTGCTTATCTTTATGAAATCATTCTCCTCATTTCAAAGCAAACTGACTGTCAAAGAGGAAAAGACAAATGTTTCTGATGGATACGTTTATATTCCATCCCTTTCAAGATTTCTCTTTACCTTGTAGAAAAGGAGTTCTGGTTTTGTGGCAAACAGATGGCAACAGTGCTGACACTTGAGTTTAACAAGTGTCCGGGCTACCACAACTTGCTGAGATGGGGCAGCAAGAGGCCGGAAACTGGCTGTGGCAGAGGCAGAGCTGCTGATGGAGCCAGGGGGACCGGAAGCGGGACCAGAAGCAGAACCGGAACCAGAACCAACAGAGGTGTTACCTCCTGCAGCTGACACTGCTGACCCAGAGGGTGGGTTTACAACCACTTGACCCTGAGATGGGGCCCCCGCTGAAGAGTTTGTTCCTTTTGGCTTGTTAAATACATTCTGGAAGAACACAAATAAGACAAAAGTTTTAGCGACTGAGAAGTAACGTGACTTGGGTAATTTTCATTTTCTCGTTTTAATAAATTAATGTCCCCACAAATATTTCCTAAATGCTTTATAAAGTAGTTCAAAGAAAGAGTTTAAATGGCAAACTTGCAGAATAGAGGGACTAAGAAACACATTAAAAGATTAAGGATTGGAATTCGGGCTTCCCAAACACCTCTAATACAGGGTTCTGATAAATTAGAGCAGACCTCTCCTTTCCCCCAAAATACCTCTCCATTGGCACTTCCATCACCAACCAGCCTTTGATGGCCAGGAAGAGCACAGAGGCCACCAGGAGTCTTTTTCGCCCCGGAGCCAGGAACACTGTATCAGGCATCTTGTCACCCCAGAGGGTCACTAAACTCTACTTTATTTCAGGGAATGAGGAACAAATGGGACAGGTAAATGGAGGCCTCCTCCATGCCAGGAGTCATTATGTATTTGGCCCAGGATGAGAGGAAGGGACACATGAGCACCTATCTGAACCCTATCTTAGTTTCTATCCTTTTGAAAGGCAGCTCCATGCCAGGAGTCATTATGTATTTGGCCCAGGATGAGAGGAAGGGACACATGAGCACCTATCTGAACCCTATCTTAGTTTCTATCCTTTTGAAAGGCAGAGAACCAAGGGCAAGAGTGGGAGGGAGGGTAGTTTAGCTAAGGACCCTGGACAAGGAAGATAGTACTGAAGTTCAATGCCTGGCTGGGACGTTTTGCAGAAATGACTTCTGGGACCAGAGTTGAAGAGGTTTTTTTCTAAGTTAAATATAATCTTTTGTAAATATGGACCTTCAGCACTCAACACACTGCCATAGACCAATGCCTAAGAGAACCTCAGGGGTTAAATACTCCCTTAGATCATACCTGGAAAGCCACCACACAACTGGAGCTGCAGAAGCTATATATAGTTCCATTGGACATGGCTAGGTGATACTGAGGGATTGCTGAGGTTTTACAACTATGACATGAAACCTGGACACCTTGGTAACAAAAAATAAAAACCAATGAATAAGCTACATAGATGAACAAATAATCCAAAAGTGTATTAGAAGGATTAAAAAATACTCAGTAATATACAAAACCAGAATCAAGGAACTTTAATCTGTGCTGACTTCAACTAATCGCAGTGAAGTCCTACTTAACACAAAAAATTGGAATTTACAAGTTTTTTCCTTTTTTTTTTTTGTCTTTCTTTTCACACAAGAACTACAAAATAAATACCTCAGCCAAGAAAAATCAGTGAAAAACTACTTTCACTTAAAAATGAGTTCTTTGAAAGTAAACCTTGGGTCTCAATTGAACTGCATAAATTCAGTTTATAACAAAAAGAAAGAAAACCAGCTATGTTGTTCTTCAATAGTTACTAAATCTATAAATTTATCAAATTTAAATATTACCTGAAGAAATAACTGTCTTAACTCTGTAAGCGGATAAGCAATTAATAGAGCAGAAAAGCTCGGTTTTTCCTGAGTCATTGGTAGTCTCAATCATTTCAGCTGAGGGCCTCAATGATTTCCCCAAGGCATATGGAGGAGTTTGGGCTGAATTCTATCAAGAAAATAAAATAACATTTAGATATCTAGCACAAACATACAAGTTGTTAAAGAAAAGAAAAAAGAAAAGCTACCGACAAAGACTGCCTTTAGTTGAAATATTTGAACATGACTATAAGGCCATTCTAAGTATAGATTTTTCTGGAAGTTGGAATGTGGGAAAAATAAGTTCTTTCAGACAATAACAAAGTATAAATTGAAGAAAATTAGTAACTATTCATATATTATTAACAACAAAACACATTAAAAGTAATGGGTTTTTAAGTGCATTCGTAATGCACTTTTCTCATTACAAATAAAGATGACCAGATGATACATGAACCAACAGACCATTCTCAGTAGATCCTTGACATCAATCTAGATCTATCACCTTTAAGGTTACTTAACCAGTAAGACTCTTTAGCAAGAGGAAATAGAAATGATGTTCAATGTATATTAGGAGATCTTACAGAACTACCTGTTTTTCAAACTGAGTTCACAACAGAATCTGCCTGTAACTTTACTCATGTTTTAAAAAACTATAATAATGATGGCTACCATTTATATAAATTACCAATATTATTATTTATTCAGTGCTCACCATGAGCTAGGTCCTACACTAAATAACTTATATATAATCATAGAATCCTTTCAACAACATAGTGAGATACTTTTAAAAATTATATTAACCAAAAGTTTAAATTAATTTTAATTCAATTAACAAATAAACAGAAAAGCAGGAGATTAAACATTTCATCTTGCTCCAAAATTCCAGGCTAACCATTACCCTATTTTGCCATGGACACAACAAAAAGTCTTTTGATAAGAAGTTATATAGGGTAGGTATTTGCCCCAAATATACAAACATAGTGATCCAAAGGGGCACCTACACCTAATGTTTATTAGCAGCAAGATTCACAACAGCCAAACTATGGAAAGAGGCTAGGTGTCCATTGACAGATGAATGGATAAAGATATGGGGTATATATACAATGGAATAGTACTCAGCCATCAAAAAAAATTTAAATCTTGCCATTTGCAAAGATGTGGATGGAACTAGAAGGTATTATGGTAAGTCAGAGAAAGAGAATTATCATATGATCTCACTCATATGTGGAATTTAAGAAACAACACAGAGGATCATAGAGAAAGGGAGGGAAAAATAAAACAAGACTGAAGCAGAGGGAGACAAACCTTAAGAGACTCTTAATCACAGGAAACAAACTGAGGGTGGCTGGAGGGGGTGGGGGGGATTGGGTAATGGGGTGACAGGCATGAAGGAGGGCATGTGATGTAATGAGCAGTGGGTGTTATATAAGACTGATGAATCACTGAGCTCTATGACCAAAACCAATACTATACCATATTAATTGAATTTAAATTTTAAAAAAGAGGTTATATGGAGAATTAAGTAGTAGGAAAATATAAATTGTGAAGTTTCACTAAATAACCTTCCTGGTAAAAGAGGAACCAGGAACCAGGAAATGACAGGAACTGTCATTTATGCAGTTGACAGAGTATAATACCAGCAACAAAATAAGGAATAGACCTGATTTTTGGATCATGTATATAAAAATAACATGGATTTTATTTCTCGTGAAAACAGTAACCTAACTGCCAAAAGTAGTAATTCCTAGAAAAGGGAAACTTTTCAAAGATAAATGTCCACTAACAAGTGCTCAGAGGAATTAAAAATAAACTTGCTAACTGAAAAAAAAATTATCATTTATACCTTTTTTTAGAAAAGTAACTTCTTAAAGATTTCAAATCATTCTACAATAATTAACCCAAATTGATCTATTTAGTAACCAAATGAATCTGTTCATTATAAAAAATAAAAATTAGCTAACGTAGTCTAATAAGGCATGTTGCCAAATTCATCCTAAAACACATTAAAAAAATAATAAAAATTAAAAAAAATAAAACACATTAAAATATATTTTTTCTAAAAGGAAAAAAAATTCACTGATTTTAGTATATGTGCTGCCGAAGCAAGCACAAATTCACTGATTTTATCATCTATAACTGGTCATAGTTTATTTACAATAACATGAGGCTTTCTTCACTTCTCAGTATATCATAAAATATTTCCAACTCCTAGCAAAACATGAAATTCCATCTGCGAATTCCTGATCATGAAGGAAACCTTAAAACACGATCTGGTTCACCTGTATCATCTCACTGCCACAATCCACACTTACACCACCAGAATCTATCCCACTTTTCTACAGGGGAACTCATACACCAAGATCAACTGACAGGAAGAGCTTACTTGTTTATTTTGTGTTTCATCCCTGCAGGCCACCCTGGAAGGAGCGAGCCTAACTATATGTGACAGATGGGATCTTCATACCTGCTTATACGCTGTGACACTTGTGGAACTAAAAACCTTCTGGGACTGGCATGGGCCAGAGCTACTATAGCAGTAGCTACCACAGTTCTCGCAACAGTTCATGGTGAGATTGTTGGTGGAGTGAAATTTTGAAAAACAGGCATCACTACAAAGACCATGCACCACATTTTGATATTTAACTTCAAATCGAATCTAGGAAATAAAAACACATATACATCCAAAATCAGTAAAGCCAATTAAAAATCTCAGATCTTTGAGCAGAAGCCCAATAAACATACAATGTGACTTACATCAGCATTCTTTTGACACATACTGCACTTGGTTGAAATGCTCTTGGTATATATGGTGACAACAGGTTTTTTCTTTAGCTCATAAGAAGACAGACATGATTGGCTGCAGAAATCTTTGCTAGGAGAAGAATTTTCAAGTCGGGTTGTGATCACATCCTTTGGATTTAAAATGTCTCTAAAAATAAATAACAAAGGCAAAATGAAATGTGTCCTTCATCACTGTAATTTCTTCCTCTCTCTGAGCTAAAATAACTACATTTACTAAGGGCAGCTACTGCTTAGGAGAAAACAGCTGGCTCGGGATAAGGCATATGGAAACCTAAGTTTGGTGATTAGTTCTGTTACTTAGCTGAGTGACAATGAGTGGGGTAATTACTCTCTCAATTTCTCATGTATAACATGGGCTTATGATACCTAATTTACAGATGTATTAAGGGAAAATTATATTTAAAATATATCCAGCCAGGTGTTCATGATGTCCGTGAGAAAAATAGGGAGGCTTCCAGCCCCAACCAAGTTTCATCCACCAGAGCCAATGGAGCAAGTGGCCATCCCACAACTCCAGACCACAAAGCACTTGTCCTATTACTAGCCAGCAGCTGCTAAGATAGAAACATGATTGAGACAAGGAATGACATGTTTTGGGTTCTTTTAATTGAGAAGCAAGATTTGGGAAACAGACGAACTACCAAAGATTAATATTTAAAAAATTATCATGATATAAAACTTAACTGTAACTGAAGAGAGCAAAGAAACATAACCAAAGAGCTATAAAGGTTTGGTAGCAGAGGACAGATGGACAGAATAAAACAGAAAGAATACAAATAATCGAGTCATTCTCTAAGACTCTTCAAGTTATTCTGTAAGAGTTCATGACTATAATAAGCACTGACAGTAAAAACAAAGATTAAGTATTGCCATTTTTCAGAACAGTATAAAAAAACTATAGGAAATGGCCATCAATTGGAAGCACTAGTACAGGCCACAAAGAATATAATGGCAATAATATTATATACAGTTGTACATATTGAGTAATTACTATGTACCAGACCTTGTTCTCTTTATTCAAATTAACCAACTTTTCACAAAAATTCTGCAAGGTAAGTATTATTATAATTGCCCTTTTACAGATGAGGAGATCAAATCAGAAAGGTTAAAGAGTTTGTCAAGGTTACACAGCTGGTAAGCAGTGAAGCCAGAATATAAACTCTAGGCAGTCTAATTCCACAGTCCATGGACTTAATCCACTATCCTGCCTCCCATCCTGTGCCTTTATTATACAGAGCTGTTCCACAGTAAACTATGAAAGAATAACAATAACAACAAAGTACTTTAATTTTCTAAAACTCACCTAACCTTAAAAATAGGACAGTGAATCTTGGAAACCAAGTGGATATGCTTACACACGGATGAAGTTATTAATTTTGAAAAGTGATTTTTCTACTAAAAACAAAGCAATAAAGAATGTTATTTAATAATGTGAATCTGCCAGTGGTATAATATACACATACGTAAACCAATGAGAATGACTTTTTAATGGCAATCTGTGCACATAAATATAAATGCATTCTAAAACCTTATACATCCAAATGAAACTTACACCTTAACAGTTATCTTAAAAAACACACACACATCCAAAATCCACGGCTCCAACTTTCTTCTAATTTCTCTTTTATTTACAAGAACTCTAGGAACAACTTTTCAATGTGAGAGTCAAATATCACATTTAAGTGTATGACTCAGTTGAACTGTCTATGATAGTCAACTGATAAAGGCATCAAGCAACTTTTGGCAATTTGCAAGAACCAAACCCATGGTATAAACAGATTTGTCACCTAAATCGGTCTACAGGAATGTTTCATAGGCTCTGAATGCAATGCCAAATCAAAAGATAAAAAAAAATTTTGAGTAAGAGCAGCACTGTGGTAAAACGTCTCTGATGAGAGTGACTATTTTTAAGAGAATAATATGCATTTGGATGTATAAGTTGTGCTACATTCTTTAAAATTTAATTCATTTTATTTTGATATTTGATATCTTGAAACAGAGTATCTAAAAACAGAAAACTAATTTTACCCTTCCAGATCAGTTTCATGAGAATGTATAGAAGAGTTTAAGTAAGATATTAGGAGAACATTTTAGAACAAAACTAAATTTGAAAATATTTATGTAAAATATTTTTAAATTCTTCTTTTTTTAGTTGGAGATTTCCATTTTAACAGGATCACTTTTAGATATGTAAGGCCAACACCCCAAGCAGATAAAAAAAAAAAAAAAAACTGTCATATATCTCCAAAGATAAAAGAGGGGCCTATAAATTCTATGTTAACATACATAATGATACTAATTTTATTATTAAAAGTAATAGGATCCTACTTATCAAGCATTTGCTATGTCCTAAGCCCTGGGCTAACACTGTTTCATTAAAATCTAAGTAGATACTATTGACCAATGAAGAAACTGAGGCCTAGAAAAGTTAAATATATAGACCCAATGTCAAGGACCATTAATCTAAGGGATAGAGTCATGATCTAAACCAAACTCTTAACTTTTATCACTTTAGATTAATGACTACTGACTGACAACACAATGTATTCCTAGAACTGTACTAACACAGGAATAGGCAAAACATGCCAAATTTTTCACACATATTAATGTAGAGAAAGAAGTTTATTATATGGCTTTGTTGCTATTTCTTCCTTTCTCTGCATTTACATGTGACAGACATGTAACCTTACATGTGACACATGCACTTACATGTGACAATAACCTCCCACAAAAACTCAAAAAGATGTTTCAGAAATAAACACATTATTTTTGTAACCACTTAGTGTTTTATCTCCTAAACAATTAAATAACTTATATACTAGTTTATTCTACTTCAGTGACTTTCAAGATAATAAATAATTGTGAATGGTTGTCTACAATTACAGGATATATGAGTGGTCCTACAATTCCCACAAATGGTTATTTCTTTCCACAGTAAAATTTAAACTTAAAGAGATAGAAAACTGGTTTAGATGACACTTTTAACACCAAGTCTTATTTCATGTTACAAAGCTTGAGATTTTGCAAATTTTTCAATTAGCTAAAAAGCTATTTCCATAGAAACATGCTGAAGAGATTTAAAGTAGCAACAGCATCTTTGGTTTTTGTTTTGTTTTTTTAACAACAGCATATTTGAACTAAACTACATACACATTAAAAAAGTAAAGTAAAGAGGGATGTAATTAAGAATTTTATACTTTGAACAGTTTGTGCAGGTTTTCTTGGGAGGAGGTGGTATGCAGACCCGTGAAGAATATCCAGTGATGCACCGCGTGGAGCAAAAGAGCTGAGTAGATCCGGTCTTATGATATGCAGTTTGCCCTTTATAAAGCATTTTTTTACAACCAGAACAAAAAACCTGAATAGCTACGGCTGGAACCGAAGGAAGCAAAATGTTTGGGCCAGATGATGCAAGAGAAAACTGAAAGCCTGGGGTCAATTGTTGGGCTATAAATACAAAATAAGGGGGGAAAAACAGTTTTAGTATCAATACAAACACATATACATTCTCCATTTTTTAGGGCAAATTCTCAGTCTTAAAATCCAATATCCATGAAGTAACAAGCACTCAAAAACACGGGGTTTCACACTGGATGCTATACTGTATATTGGCAAATGGAATTTCAATAAAATTTTTTAAAAGAACAACAAAATAAAACAGAGGGTTTCAAACTTTTTTAACAATAACTCATGGTTAGAACTATATTTCACATTATAACCCAGGAGAAACATACATTTGTGTGTATGTTTATGTGTGTAAAATTTAATCATTCAAACAGTAGTTTCATGAAATAATGTTTCCTTACTACATGCATGACATTCTAATATAATCTTACTCTACTTCCACCTTTTATTTCTTTATATACATATAACGTATATATTTTAAAATTTTGTGTAGATAATCTCTACATCCATTGTGGACTCAAACTCTCAACCCTGAGATCAAGAGTCACACGCTCCACCAACTGAGCAGCTAGGTGACCCTCTATTCCACTTTTTAAAGTGCCAATCAAGACCAGCTACCCAGTTTAAAAAGCACTGCTTTATCTTAAGGAATAAACGATATACGAGGAGGCACTTTCCCTCAATTCTATAGCCAAAATATAACAATACTAATCATAATTAACTTATACAGTTATATTTCTTACCAAGTGGACTGTCACCAACTGAAAACACAGCACTTATTTTCAGTTCACTTTCTTGAGTTTTCAGCTTTGGGTCATGTCCATACTCCTTAAGGAAAAAAAGAAATAAATACAGTGTTAGTATCTAAATAAACCAGAAATTCAAGCAAAAAAATAATCCTGTCATATCTCTTCTACATTCTAATCATAATCACCTTCACAAATACTTCAAAAGTCAAAATTTACAAGTTGTTATACTAGACTTAATCCTTACAAAAAGAACCTTTCAGAACTGGAAGATCTTTCATGACAATTTTAACTACTTTTTTTTTTTTTAAGATTTTATTCATAAGACAGAGAGGGAGAGAGAGAGAGAGAGAGAGAGAGGGAGAGAGAGAGAGAGAGAGAGAGAGAGAGAGAGAGAGAGAGAGGCATAGACACAGGCAGAGGGAGAAGCAGGCTCCATGCAGGGAGCCCGATGTGGGACTTGATCCTGGGTCTCCAGGATCACAACCTGGGCTGAAGGCAGACGCTCAACCACTGAGCCACCAGGGATCCCCTTGTAACCACTTTTCAAATGTAATCTCATATATAGGAGCCACACACAGCTATTTCAATGTTGAGCACTACCCTTTTTTTTAGGCTGTGTTTATAAGGAAGCAATAAATAAAATTAAATCTGAATGATTTAGAGACTGGATCCAATTAGTAATTTTAACCAACAGATTCACAAACTGTCATATCTATTAATGGCAGAAAAGACAAGATTTTCAATGCAATCTGTTCATTATACCTAAAATCATCAGAGCCTAAATCAAATTTATCCTAATTATACATTCTTTAAAATGCTTTAAGATAAAATGTAATAAAACAAAATTTTAAAAATACATATATCTATTTTGAAAAAGACTGTTCTTTATTCTGAGATGACAACCATCCTTTTTTTTTTTTTTTTGGTGCTAAAATACATATTTCAAAATAAAGTTTAAAAAAAGTCTTTTCTGGGGATCCCTGGGTGGCGCAGCGGTTTGGCGCCTGCCTTTGGCCCAGGGCGCAATCCTGGAGACCCGGGATCGAATCCCACGTCGGGCTCCCGGTGCATGGAGCCTGCTTCTCCCTCTGCCTGTGTCTCTGCCTCTCTCTCTCTGTGTGACTAGCATACATAAATAAATAAAAATTAAAAAAAAATTACTATAATGAATTCAAACCATGGCCCTCCCTGGAAAAGAAGTTCCCCAGCTGTAGTCTCCCATTTCCTTTCACTCATAGCGCCTGTCACAACACGCCATTTCCTATTTGGGTGATCATTTGTTATGTCTAACACCTTTCTTCTTTTCCTCATGCACACAAGACTGAAAGGACCATGCCCGATAAGGACAGGGACCATATCTGTTTTCCCACGTCTGGACACTCAACACCTGGCACACTCAACATAACCTAACAAAGGAGGCTATGGGTTCTGACAGCAGTCAGAAACAAACGTTATCTTGGCTCAAACAAGATATTTAATCTCTTCTAGTTTCAACTTCCTTGTCTATAAAATATATTATCCAACCCACAAGCCCATTATGAGGGGATAAATGATTTAATATAAATGCAGTCTGTAGCATGGTACCTTACAGATAAATCAAAAGTTAAGCATGATTTACAACAAAAAAATCCTAGCTTTTAATATTATTGTCATAATTATGGCACTTAATAAATATTCGTTGAGTGAATGATTCCTCGTGGAAGTTCTTAAACATTATACTTAAATAACAATGTTTATCTATTGGCACTTACAAAAAGAAGAGGAATTTAAAAGTATCTATATACACGCTCCTTCAACTTACCAAAAAGAACACCTAAGAATATAAAACTACTTTACCTTATCATTAATTCAATCTCTGATATTTTTCTAATATTGGTTAAATCTCCCGTCAGTTCCTTTTGATTCACAAAGTAATTGTTCCAACCCTTCACCACTAGTAAGTCAACCCTGCAAATTTCCTGCTCCCTGATATTTCAATTTCACCAAGAAAAAAAGAAACTAGAAATCCCTCAATCTCTGATTCCACCTTCACCATGCCTATAAATTGATCAGCAAACTGTCCTCTTATAAGAAAAAGCAACCTTCTTAACCATGACTAAAAGTGCTTGCATTTGGGGTCCCTCTCCCTCTCCCTTCTTTCAGCAAGCCATACCATTGGTGTGTTATCTCCAGCCTCTCACCACCTCCATGTCAGTTTTTTCTCCTCTCTGCTTATAAGGAACCTATTTCCTAAGGAACTACTACCCTCTTCTCTTTCCAACCAGCCAGAGAAAAAGCGCCTGATTATTTTTCTACTTCCTTCGATTCCCTCCCTAGCCCAATGCTGTCAGGCTACTGCTTCAACTGAAACGGGTTATTTTATTTTATTTATATAATTAAGTAATCTCTATTTCCAATATGGAGCTCGAACTCACAACCCTAAGATCAAGACTCACATGCTCCTCCAACTGAGCCAGCCACACCCCCAACTGAAACTGTTATAAAATTAGTCAATCACCTTGCAGCTACTTAATGCAATAAACATTTTTAGGTTTTATCTTACAAGGCTTCTCAGATATATCTGACACTGCCAATGATTCCATTTCATTGTCTTCTGGTTCTTATACTTCAATTCATTACTTATGTCTTCATATCCTTCATTGATCTTTTATATTCAGCCCTAAAGTCAATGGTTCCAAAATTCAAGGGCATCTGAAGCCCTTTAAAGGTCCGGTTAAGACATAAATTGTTGGGCTTCAACCCCAGAGTTTCTAACTCAGTAGGTATGGAGCAGGGTCCAAGAATATAAATTTCTAACAAATTTTCAGGTAATGCTGAGGCTGCTGATTGGGGGGGACGACCTTGAAGCCACTTTCTATTTTTAAAGATTTTATTTATTTCTTTATTCATGAGAGACACAGAGAGAGAGGCAAAGACACAGGCAGAGGGAGAAGCAGGCTCCATGCAGGGAGCCCGACGCGGGACTCGATCCCAGAACTCCAAGATCACACCCTGAGCCAATGGCAGGTGCTAAACAGCTGAGCCACCCAGGGATCCCACACTTTTCTTTTTTTTTTTTTAAGATTTTATTTCTTTATTCATTAGAGACAGAGAGAGAAGCAGAGACACCGGCAGAGAGAAGCAGGCTCTTCACAGGGAGCCTGATGCAGGACTCGATCCTAGGACCCCGGAATCATGCCCTGAGCCAAAGGCAGAAACTCAACCTCCTGAGCCACCCAGCCATCCCCTGAAGCCACTGTGAAGCCCTAAATTAATCCATTTCCCAGCTTTCTACCTTGAGCTCTTCTCTCTACTTTTGTTTCCTGAATGATCTCATCCACATTCATAACTTCAACTATCACCTATATAGGATTACCAGATTTAGCAAATAAAAATATAAAAGCTTAGCAAAATTTGATTTTCAGATAAACAACACTTTCTTAGTGTAAGTATGTCCTAAGTATTACATGTAACCTACTCATATTAAAAAAAAAATTACTGCTAAGGGGCGTCTGGGTGGTGCAGTTGGTTAGAAACTCTAGGTTTCTGGTCAGATTGTGATCTTGGGTCATGAGATGGAGCCCTGAGTTGGGCTCTGTGCTCAGTGTGGAGTCAGCTTGGACTGTCTCCCTCTCCTTCTGCCCCTCCCCCATACTCACATTTTCTCTTGCTCTCAACTAAATAAATAAATCTTCAAAAAAAAATCACTTAACTTGATAGTCAAATTTCCTGGGCATTTTATATTTTATCTAACACTAAACCTACAGATAGATTAACTTTCATATCTAAATACTATATCCAGGGGATCCCTGGGTGGCTCAGCGGTTTGGCACCTGCCTTCAGCCCAGGGCATGATCCTAGAGTCCCGGGATCGAGTCCCATGTCAGGTTCCCTGTGTGGAGCCTGCTTCTCCCTCTGCCTGTGTCTGTGCCTCTCTCTCTGTGTTTCTCATGAATAAATAAATAAAATCTTTAAAAAAAAAAAAAAACTATTCTCTTTTGTGTTGAAATACTCAACCACTAAACATACCACAATCTCTCACCTCTCCATGACTTGGCACACAACTCAAGTGCCACCTGCCCCAGGAAGACTTCCCTTCCTCTCTAGACTTAAGGATTCCCTTTCCTATGCTCCCAATGCACCCTATACATTTCCTGTTACAGTAACTACATAATACTGTGACTTTGTATCTGTACAGAGATGGCACAAAGCAACAGAAAGAAAACAAGTTTGACCCCAGTGCCTATTCCAGCTGTTACTGCCTTTGAATTTGGTAAATTACCAACCTCTCCTTTCCTCAGTTCTCTCATTTGTTGTTGTTTTTTTTTTTTTTTTTCAGTTCCCTCATTTCTATAATGGGGTAAAGATACTTGCCTCATATGGTTGTAGAATTTAAATGAGAATGCATAAAACATGCTTAGCATAGCTTTTGATGAGATGCACTCAATAACTAATTATCTCTTCTTCCTGTATCTCTCTTACACTATCAATTCCCTTGAGAGCAGAGGTCCTGTCTTTCCATCTTTGTAGCTCTTCTAAGAACAAAATAACTAACACAACTTAGACGCCGTATCTGGGTTAAGGGTTTGGGATCTTGAACCAGACTGCCTGTGTTCAAACCCTCACTCAACCACTGAGTGAGTTGTGTGACTTTTAACAAATGACTATCTGTGGCTCAGCATCTTCATGTGTAAAGCAAGAAGAGTAATGGTATTTAACTCTAGGGTCATGTGCATCAAATGGATTAATATAGGTAAACTACTTAAAACAATGTTGAACAAGAGCTATGAAATTTATGATAAGCAGCAATAAAAACTCACTGAATGACAGCTCAAATGTAATTTTAAATCCAGAAGACTCTTAATAGAGGTATTCCCCACTTTTCAAAAGTTTGCGTAATGCCACTTCACTTTTACAAAAGACTTATATATTATTTTTTTCATTTTTTTAATTTTTATTTATTTATGATAGTCACAGAAAGAGAGAGAGAGGCAGAGACATAGGCAGAGGGAGAAGCAGGCTCCATGCACCAGGAGCCCGACGTGGGATTTGATCCGGGTCTCTAGGATCGTGCCCTGGGCCAAAGGCAGGCGCCAAACCGCTGCGCCACCCAGGGATCCCAGACTTACATATTATTAGCACCTGTTTTCGCTAACCAAAAAAAAAACTGAAGATTTTTGCTTTTATGAGAAAAGGCAAAAAGCGAAAATAGCCTTCAGCTTTGTTTTGTAGCATGCAGTTATAGAGGCAGTCTGAATCCTGAGAAGCAAGAAGTGAGAGCAGCACCACCAAGCTCCTTTCCCAGGAAGCACACTCAGTACCTCAGCATCAACCACCTCAGCTGCTATAGCTCTGAACTATGTGAGCATCAAAGCTTTATCTAGATTTATTTTGTGCATGTCAGTAAGACAGGTCCTAAGGCATCACAAAAGCCTAATCCAGGAATGCTCAAAATTTTTTCCATAATAAGTTAGTGGTAATCATTTCTTTTTTTTTTTAAGATTTATTTATTTATTCATGATAGACAAAGAGACAGAGACACAGGCAGAGGGAGAAGCAGGCTCCATGCCGGGAGCCCGACACAGAACTTGATGCCGGGACTCCAGGATCGTGCCCTGGGCGAAAGGCAGGCGCTAAACAGCTGAGCCACCCAGGGATCCCCAATCATTTCATTTTAACACCATTGCAGCCTACAAAATTCTCCTAGGAACATTATTTCAGTAGTGGTGGGGCGGCAGGAGAAGGCTGCATATCAAAAAATATTAAGTATTACAAAGAGAACTGAGTTGGTCCCTATCTACTTAAATTTAAAATGTAAAAAAAAAAAAATTTAAAATGTAAGCTGTTGGGGTGCCTGAGTGGCTCAGCCAGTTAAGCACCCAACTTGATTTTGGCTCAGGTTATGATCTCAGGGTCTTGGGCTCTGCATTCAGCAGGGAGTCTGCCTGTCCCTCTCCCCCTGCTCTTACCCCTGCTCTCTCTTTCTCTTAGATAAATAAAATCTTTTTTAAAAAAGAAAAAAGTAAGCTGTTAGGCAGATTTTCATTATCACAATTTTGGCATTCAGAAAGAACATTCAACTCATAGCACAGTATTTGTTAAATTTATATACTACAGACAAGGCATAATGAAAGAAAACTTGGATCTGGAATTTTTAAAAACTGGTTTTGTATCCCAACTTTGCCTTGGGACCTTAGTGAAGCCCCTTCTTTCTTCAGGCCCAGTTTCTTCGTCATGAAATAAAGGCTCTTTTATTCCAGTTATCAAGCATGTACCTTGTGCCAGTCATTGCACTAGGAATCGAGGCTTCCAGACTCTGTATGAAAACAAAATTCATTGACCTGGAGATGCCACAGCAAAAGTGAAAGCAATATACAATACAAAAAAAAAGGATTAATTCTACCAGAGTGACCGACTGTATGCTATGTCTTAAAGAGGAGACAAATTTTTGCCACACTGCCTAGTTCAGAATACCACAGGCAGAAGAAATGGCATGTGCAAAGGTGAGGAAACCAAACTCAACAGAATATGACTTCGAGTAAAATGCAGATAGTTTGCAGGTAAATAGATTCAAAAAGGTGAGAAGGATGACCAATGATACTGAAGACAGAAACAAAGGCTGGAAACATAGATAGTTTGGAGGTTACACTACAAAGTTCATGCTTCATCATGCATGAGGAGGCTGGGTCTTTAAAGGTAGTGATGGCATCAGATCTGTGGAGGTACAATAGCATCATTACACAGGGTTTTGCTGGGGATAGTGACTGAAAGTAAAGGGATGAGTAGGAAACCGTTATAAAAGTTAAAATGAAGAAAAAAAGTTAAAATGAGAAAAAATGACATAGGAACGAAAAGGCAGAGATAGTAAAAAAAAAATTCAAAGGTAGAATCCACAAAACTTGGCACACAAATGGTTACTTCTGGAAGAAGAGTAAGAATTTAGTATCTAGGGGGAAAATAAATGTCATGGATGCCATGCCTCACCCCCACCCCACATTCTATACACAGTATCTCAGATGCCTTCTCAGCACAGCACTCTAGGGAGACAAAATCTGTTTGGCATCCCTGTTCTGGAATAACATTGCCTTTGAGATGGGATGAGAAATAAAATATTAGCATTATTATTTATTATTGTTATAATTCATATTTTTAATATCATTGGTTTGCTTATGCAGTAACTGAAGAGTATCAAGCAAAAGAACTGTGCAAAACCAAAACACAAAACAAACAAAAAAAAAAAAACATCATTCTTCACCAAAACAAATAACCAATGTCTTCATACTGATCTCCACAGATCTCCAAGATGGGTCCCTAAGGGTACCTAGATGATCTTTCTAAGTATGTTTATCTTACTCTCCCACTTAAAATCCTGCAATCTCTTCCCATTGCTCTCTTCCCATGGGGTCTTCCCAGAGAGACCAAAATTCATAAAAAGGTCCTAAAGTCCTGCATGATCTGGCCTCAAACTCCTACAGAGCCTCATTCTAGAAGCAAGATAACAGGCTTTGAAGTCTGACTACCTGGATCTGAATCTACTATGCCACTTATGAGCTGTGATCCCTGGTAAACTGCTTGACTTCTTTGCACTTTGGTTGCCTCATCTGTAACATGGGGATAATGCGGTTGTGTGAATGGTGCCTGGCATAGTCTAAGCACATATAAATATCAGTAAGTTAATATTTATAATATATGTCTTTATGATAGAATATATACAAGTTGAAACATAAATACTACCTATTAGTGTTGTTATGATCAACATTACCGTCATCACCATTTGCATATGTTTTCTGTTCCAAGGCTCAGTGGTCTTGCAGTTCTTCAAAAGAACCATGCATCTAACGTAGGGCTTCCCTATATGCAGATTGCTCTGTCTGGAACACTCTCCACGCCTTTGCCTAGTCAATTCATTCTTCGTAATTCGGCTTTCGCATCCTTCCCTCATGGAAGCCTTCCCTAGCCAACCTCTGCCCCCAACCAAAACTAGGTCAGAGTTCCCATTTTAGGCTTTTCTTGCAGAGCACTTGTCATAGTTTGTAAATATATATATTATTTGATCAATTACTTGTATAATATCTATCACCCTTACTAACCTATAAGCTCAACGAGGAGAGGGACTAAACTGACTCAGTCTCCTGGAATAGAACAGACCACAGATACAGAATAAAAGGAAACTACTGTCAGATACAAGAAAAATTAAAAAAAAAAGTTCCAAGTATAGAAAAATGGTAATACGTAGTACTTTTTACAAAAAGAAATACACAGTTTCCGAGATCTTTTCTCACTTAAAGAGAAATCTGATTTACTCATCTAATGGGGGGAAAAAAAACAGTTTGAGTTGTTTGTTTCAACATACAAGTCAGAAATTGCCTAACTAAAAATCTGAATTCAGCAGGTAGAAAAGAATAAAAATTTTTTTTAAAAAAAAATGAAATGCTTACTTGAGCATTGTCAGGTTCTTCTTTAATTTTGTCCAGAAGCTCCTGCTGCGGTGCCATTGCTTTGCCACATTCACCATCCAATGGCTCTTTCATTCTAATTTTTTATGTAAAGGAATTCCCCAGCCTTAAACTAATAGACTTCTTCTTGGTAAAGGGCAGGTGGACTCCTAAAATACAACATAAAGCATTGGCACTCGGGTTTATTCTTTTTTTTCTCCTTCACGTTTATCTATATTAAAAACTTTGTGTTGAGCACAAGGCTTCAAAGTTGAGCCTTCGAAAAACAACGCTTCTGGGGCCAGGACTAATTCTGTCCTCCCCCCTTCCTGCCTTCTGCTCTTTTGAGACATGACAAGACATGAGAAAAGTCTTCTGGGGGCGGGGAGACACCCAGGCAGCTCGATCAGTTAAGCACTCAACTCTTGACTTTTGGTTCAGGTCAATAAACTCAGGATCCTGGGATGGAGCCTCCCGCTCAGACTCCACGGGCTGGGTGCTGGGTGCAGAGCCTGCTTAAGATCAAGAGTCCCTCTCCCTCCACCCGCCCCCCCCCCTGTAAAATAATGAAATGAAATAAAAAATAAAATAAAATGAAGTAAATAAAATAAAATAAATAAAATGAAATAAAACAAAATAAAATGAAATCAATAAAATGAAATCAATAAAATAAAATAAAATAAATAAAATAAAGTAAATAAAATAAAGTAAATAAAATAAAATAAAAAATAAAATAAAATTAAATTAAAATAATAAAATAAAATAAAAAAGAACAGAAGGTAAAATAAAACAAGGAAAGTCTTCTGGAAGTAGTTCCCGCGTCCCCGGTAACTTTACAAACACTCGGGTCTATCAAATGTTGCAGTTACGTGGGGGTGGGGGGTGAGACCGGCTGGCCAGGACGCGGGAAGAAGTCATCAAACACTTGGAGGAGAGGACTCAGAAGCACAGTTTCTGACCCGTTCAGCTTCTACTTCTCCCAGCGGGGCGCCCAGCACGCTCCCCACCCCCACCCCGAGCTCGGCCTTTCCGGGGGGCCTCCCCTAGGGCCCCGTGTCAGGCCCCAACGACGGCCGAGCTCCAGATGCGGCTCGCAGGTGAACACCAGGGAGGCCCCTGTTTAAAGCGGTCCTGCCCCTTCTGGGGTCTCGGGGGTCTCCGGGGTCCTGGGATCTCAGGGATCCAGGGGGCTCCAGGGTCTCAGGGTCTCCGAGGTCTCCGGGTCTGGGGGGGGGGGCGGTTTCCCGGGGTCTCCGGGGTCTCGGGGATCTCTAGGGTATCGGGGGTCCCGGGGTCTCAAGGGTCTCCCGGGGTCTCGGGGGTCTCCAGGGTCCCGGGGTTTCCGGGGTCTCGGAAGTCTCCCGGGGTCTCCGGGGTCTCGGAGATCTCCGGGGTCTCGGGGGTCTCCCGAGGTCTCCAGGGTCCCGGGGTCTCGGGGGTCTCCGGGGTCCCGGGGTTTCCGGGATCCCGGAGTCTCGGAAGTCTCCCGGGGTCTCGGGGATCTCCGGGGTCTCCCGAGGTCTCCAGGGTCCCGGGGTCTCGGGGTCTCCCAAGGTCTCCGGGGTCTCCCGAGGTCTCCCGAGGTCTCGGGGTCTCCGGAGTCTCGGAAGTCTCCCGGGGTCTCGGGGGTCTCCGGGATCTCGGGGGTCTCCCAAGGTCTCGGGGGTCTCCCGAGATCTCCGGGGTCCCGGGGTTTCCGGGGTCCCGGGGTCTCGGAAGTCTCCCGGGGTCTCCGGGGTCTCGGGGTCTCCCAAGGTCTCGAGGGTCTCCCGAGGTCTCCGGGGTCTCCCGAGGTCTCCGGGGCCCCGGGGTCTCCCGAGGTCTCAGGGTCTGGGGGGTCTCCAGGGTCCCCGGCCGTCCAGCCCGAGCCGCAGGGCGCCCCCAGAGCCGTCTTTACCCTCGTCTTTACCGCCGGGCCGGGCGTGCAAATGGGCACCTGGCGGGGGAACCTGCGGGGAACCGGAGGACGATTCGGGCCGCTCGCCGCGGTCACGGCGACCCCGGGCGCTCATCCCTGCTCCCGGGGCCGCTTCGCTCCGCAAGTGTCGCCCGCGCCGATCAGCCTCGCGCCCGCCGCCGCCGCAGGCAGAGCGGGCAGGGCGGGCGCCCCGCAAGCCCCTGTCACCGCGTCCCCGCCGCGCTCCCGGCGCCGCCCCCGCCCGGGGCCGCCTCGTCACGTGGCGCGCCCGCCGCCCCGCCCCGCCGCCGCCGCGCTCACCTTCGGGTCGCCTCCCTGCTTCCGCGGAGCCCCGGCTGGGTCGCGGGGTGGGGTGGGGAGCCGGGGCCCGAACCCACAGCTCCGCGCGCCGGGCACGGGGGTGATGCTCTCTTACTGCACTTGTTCCGCCTGGGCCATCGCAACGCAACGCGGGGCCAACCGCGCATGCGCAGCCCTGTCTCCGCCCCTCCTTTTCCCGTCATGCTCTGGGCCTGAGCCGAGGAGCTCTTCCCAGGATTCCTCTCTCCTCAGTGATGGCTGACTTCTTAAAGAGACCAAGACCCGAGGATGAAAAGGTAGCAAATAGGCTTTGTGGGGGCGGGGGGGGAACAAAACAAAGTTGGGGGCACTGCAAATACTCTGCACAGTTTTTGTTTTTGTTTTTGTTTTTGTTTTTGTCTGCACAGTTTTGCACAAAGATGGCCTCCTAAGAGAGCGTAAGAATAAATAATGGCTATTTGTTAAGCCAAGGGCTCATGACTCCTTGACCTCCATCAATCCACTTAGTCCTCACTGCAGCCCCAAGAGGTACGAATTTTTATCTCACATATAAATGTAAACAGATTAACTTGGTCGAAGTCAAGATTTGTTGCTTTTTTTTTTTTTTGCATTCAGAACTATTATTATTTTTGATTGGTGACTGCTGCATAATATTCTGCTTTATGAATATGTGACAATTAGTCTGCTGTTGATGTACCTTGGAGTTGTTTCTTTTTCTTTTTTTTTTTTTTTTTTTTTTTTTTGGAGTTGTTTCCAGGTTGCAGTTGACTAGCAATTATGCTGCTGTGACCTTTCCTGCCCCTTGTTGCACAGATGCTGGGTGTAGGCCTTGCTTGTTATGCACGTATGAGACTTAAGGGGATGATGCCAAGCAATTCCACGCCCCCACCAGCCATTGGTGAGAGACCCAGCTGCCCCACATCCTCACCTGTAAGGACCACTGTACATCTCTTCAATTTTAACCTTTCGGGGTGGGGGGGGGGGGATAGTGGTATCTCATTGTGGAGTTTGTTTCTTTGGATTTGGGGTGGTTTGTTTTTTGGTTTTTGGGGTTTTTTTAAGATTTTAGTTTTAATTAATCTCCGCCACCAACATGGGGCCCAAAATCAGCACCTGGGTGTCAAGAGTCTCTCTCTTCAATGGCCAAGCCAACCAGGTGCCCCTCATTGTGGTTTTAATGTGGATTTCCCAGATGTCTAATAGGGTTGAGCCATTTTTTTTATGTTTCTCGATACCTGGACATTCTCTTTTATAAAGTGCCTATTTAAGGATCTCATCCACTTTTGTATGGGGTTGTCCGTCATTTTATTATTCTAGATATGAGTCCTTTGTTGAGATAATCTATGCGGTGTAAAGATCTTCTCCCACTCAGCAGCCAGCATTTCCACTTGATTACTGGTTGGGGTCTTTAACGAACATAAAAGACCTTTATGGGTGGTGCTTCTTGTGTCCTGTTAAGAAATATTTTCCTACCAACAGTGCTGATTAATTGTTAGGATTGTTATTACTTTGTCCTCATCTAGCTCTGCAATCCACTTGAAGTTGAGTTTTGTGTATGGTGTGAGGTAAGTCAGGTTTCATTTTTTACATGTAATTGTTAAATTGACTAAGAACTATTTTTTTTAAGATCTTATTTATTGGGGGATCCCTGGGTGGCGCAGTGGTTTGGCGCCTGCCTTTGGCCCAGGGCGCGATCCTGGAGACCCGGGATCGAATCCCACATCGGGCTCCCGGTGCATGGAGCCTGCTTCTCCCTCTGCCTATGTGTCTGCCTCTCTCTCTCTCTGTGACTATCATAAATAAATAAAAATTTAAAAAAAAAGATCTTATTTATTTATTCATGAGAGAGAGAGGCAGAGACACGGGCAGAAGGAGAAGCAGGCTCCATGCAGGAGCCCAAGTGAGACTCGATCCCGGGACCCCAGGGTCACGCCCTGGGCTGAAGGTGGCGTTAAACCGCTGAGCCACCGGGGCTGCCCGACTAAACCATTTTTGGAAGTTTGTCCTTTCCCCTATTGCTCTGCACTGTCACCCTTGCATAAACAAGTTATCTATAAATGAGTGGATTTGTTTCAGGACTATGCAATCTATTCATTTTGTCTCTCTTTGTGGAAATGTCACATTGTCTTAATTTCTGTAACAGCTTTACAGGAAATCTTGATATCTGGTAGAAAAAAAGTCTTCCTTCCCATTATGATCTTCAAAATTGTCTTGGCTTTTCTTGGTCCTTTGCATATCCATATAAATGTTATTTTTTAAGGATTTTATTTTTAAATAATCTCTACACCCAATGTGAGGCTCAAACTCAGAACTCCAAGATCAAAGAGTCCCCTGACTGAGCCAGCCAGGCATCCCCATATAAATTTTAGAATCTGCTTGCCAAATGTGACCAAATTTTCCATATATGTTTTAAACTCACCCAGAATTTTGGTTAGTATAGCACTGAAGCTATAGACTTGTTTTGGAGAATTGGCATTTGTTATTCATTGTGTTGAATTGAGTCCCCCAAAAAGATATGGTGACCTCAGAATATGACTTTATGTGAAAATAGCATTGTTGTAGATGTAATTAGAGTAGGATTGACCCTTAATAATTAGAGTAGCTGGTCATATTAGAGTAGGATTGACCCTTAATAATCCAATATAACTCATGTCCTTATAAGAAAAGGAGACATAGAAACTGACGCTTGGGGAAAGAACACCAAAAGATAATTGAGGCAGAAAGTGCAGTACTACAGCTGCAAACCAAGGAATGGCAAGGATTAATGGTAAACAAACAAAAGCTAGAAGAGACAAGGAAGGAGTCTCCCATCTGGATTTCAGAGAGAAGAAGGCTCTGCTGATACCATAATTTTAGACATCAAGCCTCCAGAACTGTAAGACAATAAATTTCTGTTTGTAGCACTTTCTTACAGCAGGCCTAGGAAACTAATATGATTGAATCTTCCAATCCATGAAAATAGTATATCTCTCCATTTATTTCTGTAATTTCTCTTGATGATGGTTTGGAGTTTTGTTTTGTTTTTTTTTTAAGATTTTATTTATTTATTCATGAGAGACACATAGAGAGAGACAGAGATACAGGCAGAGGGAGAAGCAGGCTCCTGCAGGGAACCTGATGTGGGACTCGATCCCAGGACTCCAGGATCACACCCTGGACCGCAGGCAGGTGCTAAACCGCTAAGCCATCCAGGGATCCCCTATAGTTTCTAAGTATAGAGATGGCACATCTTTTTTAGATTTATCCTAGATCTTTGATATTTAATAGTTTTTTAAAAAAGATTTACCCACTTATTTAAAAGAGAGAGCACAAGAGGACTGGTGGGGGGCAGAGGAAGAGAATCTCTAGGCAGACACTCTGCTAAGCATGGAGCGCAACACAGGGCTCAATCCTACAACCCATGAGACTATGACGGGGGCTGAAACCAAAAGTCAGATGCCCATTCGTGGGTGTTCAGGTGCCCCTTATTTTATGGCATTTTAAATGGTAAAATTTCATTTTCTAATTGTTTGTTTCCATTATAAATATAGAAATATGACTTTTGTATGTTGGTTTTGAAGACAGCACCCTTGCTAAATTCATTCATTAATTCTAAGAGTTTTTCCAATTTGTAGATATTTTCTAGGGTTTCAACTATCTAGAGAATAAAGACAAACATATTTTCCTTTCTAATATATAATTTTCATCTTATTCTGTTGCCTTAATAAAAATAGTGGTATCGGGCATCAGTATCTTCTTCCTGCTATGTTGTTTTCAATATAAGATCATTAAATATTAAATTTGCTTTAGAATTTTTGCAGCTACCTGTGGGGGATTAATTACGGCAAATTCTTTGCAACTTCTTTCATCAAGAGAGGGAGTCTAGGGATCCCTGGGTGGCGCAGCGGTTTGGCGCCTGCCTTTGGCCCAGGGCGCGATCCTGGAGACCCGGGATCGAATCCCATGTCAGGCTCCCGGTGCATGGAACCTGCTTCTCCCTCTGCCTGTGTCTCTGCCTCTCTCTCTCTCTGTATGACTATCGTAAATAAATAAAAAAAAAAAAAGAGGGAGTCTATTTCCTTATCCCTTGTTTCTTGGTTGGCTTCGTGAGTTATTTTGACTGACAGAATGTGACAGAAGTGATATCCTATAAATTCTCAAGAGTAGGTCTCAATAGTCTTTGCTGCTTCTGCTTTGACTTTCTTGGGAACATTCTCACCATCATGTCAAGATCAGATGGGCTAAACTACTGAATGATGGAAGATCAGGTGCAGAGAAGTCAGCACCAGGGCCACATACATGAGTGGAATCATTTTGGATCCTTCAGGCTGATAGATGACGGCAGTCTCATGAGCGGGCCCAGGCAAGATAAGCAGAAGAATTACCTAGCTAAGCCCAAATTATAGTGTCATAAATGAATGAAGGGTTATTTAGCAGGAGAGAACTGTTGCAGAAGAGATATCTAGAAATGGAGACCGCCAGAACTAAAATCTAAAACATGTGACATCAACTTTGGGACCAGGCAGCCAGCAGAGCTGCAGGAGTCTGTCAGTGGAGGCTGAAAGAGCAGTGAGGAAATTGTTATTGGAGGTTGGAGAAAGACCAGCTAGCGTGATGCAGTGGCAAAATGTTCTGCAGCCCTGCTGCTAATAATAACGTGGAAAATAAAAAAAAAAATGTAATTAGTGAACTTGTGGATCCAGTTTAGGAGATTTCCAGGCTGAATATTAAAAGTGCTTATTTTAAATAAATAAATAAATAAATAAATAAATAAATAAATAAATAAATAAATATAAAAAAATAAAAATGCTTATTTATTTTAGTCACCTATGATAAGATTTTGCAAAAGATAAACAAGCTAAAGAAGGAACATGTGTTTTCAAGCAGAAATTAGACAAAACGTGAAGGGCCCAGGACAGTCTCTCCAGCTAGCTAAATA